AGAGAGACAGAGAGAGAGAGAGACCGAGACCGAGAGACCGACCGGGGATTGAACTCAGACCCTTGCGCTTGCCAGGGAAGTGCTTATTCCACTGAGCCATCTCCCCGGCCCCAACATCATTAGTCATAAAATAAAGGATAAAGATCACATCTGGCTCATTGGGTTACTGTGAGTCATAAGGCAGCAAACTCAGTTAGATCAGGAATTACTGGTTGGCCTCCAGAACGTGCTCAATACCTGGCCACAGCAAGCGCCAACCAATCTCTGCTGTTCGAGCCCCGTGGGTCCATCCTGGGCAGGGCTGTTCACCGACGCACCCTCAGTGCCTAGAACACCATCTGGCTATCTGCAGCCCATCCACGGACACTGAAGCCTGCCTAGACAACCAGGATCACACAGCGGTGCAGTGAGAACCAGAGTACAAAATGCTGCTGCCGTGCTGGGATGGGACCCTGAAGAACAGCTCAAGGGTAAGAAGTGAGGTGGCAGCAGACTCAGAACTGGGTCAAAGCACTTTGTGCTGAAGTTGGAGCTGGCTGCCATGCAAACATGCCTCTCAATGTTGAAACTGCAGGGCCACCTCCAGCTCAGAGGAAAAGCCTGGGTTCCTTGGAGAACCCCACTCCATGGTGTACCTCTGCACACTCACCGCACTGTTGGCCAAACTTTAAAGTAACCTGATTTCAAGGCCTTTTACCCTTTGAAGACCCTGCTTCACTGTTTTACCAGAAGCTGGAAGCATTACAGGATGTACCTGATAAATAAACATCCAAGAGCTCATGTTGTAGCATGCTGTGTGGCAGAGAAATGCATACCAAGTGGTTTGTAAAGTAATCACATGTGGTGCTAGCCATTCGCTCTGCAAGGTAAATTCCAGAGAAGGCTCTTACCCGCATGCGAACACCAAGCATGGGCTGCAGGCAGCTCACCTGCCTGCCACGGCTGCAGCGCCTTCACCTCTGACGAGAAGGCTGGGCTACACGTCCTTGTGTTCCCTCTCTGGCCCGCTCAGTCTGTCACTTTCCACCCATGTCCTCACTCTGAACTGGTTCAGACACGGACTTTATAACCAGAAGCAGCAAGAGCACTCAGCTAAATCCACCCTTCCATTGTAGAGTGACATAGTGTGTCAGAGGTGACATAACTGAGCCAACGTGACACTCCTGAAGAGAGCCCAGGCGCTGGTCACAACCAAGCCGACGCTTGGGTCCTCATCAGTAAGCAAATCAGGAGGGTCCAGAAGGGAGGGAGGATCTGAGGGGAACGATGCTGTGGCTTGCGAGCTTGAGTCCTCTGTCAATGACACTTACTGGCAGCAGAGCTGGTGGGCAGTTGATGGTGAAGAAATAAGGTTGGCTGAGGGAGGCCCCCAAGCGCTCTCAGGAACAGGGGAAAGCAAGGTGAAAACAAATACACCTCAGCTACTTCTTAGCACTTTCTGGAAGATTCCAGCTCCTAATCCACAGCCCACCTCAGCGAGCGAGGGTTTCCCAGGCAGAACACTGTTCTGCTGGTCCTAACAGATCGGCAACTTGGATTCTTGAGTATTTCATTACATGGCTGACAGTGCTGTAGGACTCCGTATTGTGTTGAACCCTAAAGGATCAGTTTCCTGTTTTTCAATGTTAAGTATTTCAGCTCGTCAGCATTACTACGGAGCTCTTCCAAACAATAAACACAGAGAAATTAGAAGAACTCACACTGGGCTACCTGATTAATTTTCCCCTCAGCTCTTTACTGCAGTCGTCTCACCACCACGTGCCTCACGCACTCACAGCCCCAGCGCACACATCGGCCCGCCAGCTCTGCGGATTCGCAGGGCTCCCGTCCTGATCACTGCGTGATCTCAGCGTGTGTCAGGCTTCCGGAGAAGGAACGCACACACCAGCCTAGGGACGCAGTGCCGGCCTACCAACAGTGTCCCTCCCCATCTCTCTCCCAGGTTTTCCTGCCTTAATTCAGTCTTCACATGCGTACAACCTGGTACACTAGTGAGACGTCTAATCACCAAGCTCACCCGAGAGCCCTGACCGAGATGACTGCCAGGACCCGACACCCGCAGACACAGCTGATCTGCACAACATTCCTTTGAAACACTGCCAGACAACTCAGCTCAGCAGGCTGCCAGTCTTGCTCGGGGGCTCAACTTCTCACCGAAGATTAATTTAACATCAGAACAAGACTTACAAAACACACTCAGAACGTCAATAGACAAACTAAGTGCATAAAATGCTCGCAGCTCATTTGAAGTCACAGCCTGTCCCCTACCACGTCTCCACAGTACACAGTGCTGACCACCACGCAGGAGCGCGACAGGCAGTCAAGCTGCACCTCTGGGCACTGCCGTATTTCTTTCCCACTACTGCGTTTTACCATGTAAAAAGCACTTGGATGCTGCGGTGGGGATGGGGGAAAGGACACGCCTGACAATCAAGAACAGGAGAACTTTAAGCTCAGTCCTGTGCTTAGCTATAGGAATGTGAGAGGTATTCACGTGCCCGTTTTAGCATCCTCATTATGGGAAAATGTACTTTGACTTAAAAAATAGATTGTGGGATGCGACTCATTACACTAAGACATTTAACTGATGCAAGCATAAGAGAAGGAAAGAGTATGACGTATAAGCTGTTGTACTAACGCAGGTGCAAGTTCGTTGTGATAGGGTGTCTCAGTTATTTTTCTCTCAGCACTGAGACAAAATACCTGACATCCAACAGTAAGGAAGGAAAGGTTTATTTAGCTCACGGCTCGAGGTGGTTTCAGTCCACACTCAGCTGGCTCCAAGGTGGAATGGCACATGGCAGAGGGCAGCAGTTCATGGCAGCAGAAAACAGCGTGAGCAACCAGAAAAGCAGCAAGAGGCAGCTAGCAAGCCCCTCCCCCCCTTCTATTTATATGCAGATTATCTGCCCCAGGGCAGGAACAGCACTCGCACCCATAATCTCAGCATTGGATCGGAATTAATCACGAACTCTAGAAGCAGCCCCATGATTGCACGAGTCTCTGGGGGGCTAGACACAAACCATAGCATATGGTTAAAAAGAAAGCACCTAAAAAATTCTAATATTTACAAAAACAAATAGAAGAGTTGAACACATATATTAACCAAGCTCTTAGTTGGCCAGATTTTTTAAAAACGAGAAACAGGCAAATCTTAACAAGTGGCTTTTGGGGATTAACAACTAGCAAAAACCTTCCAGGTTACACCTAAAGACCACTACTAGTTCAGCCCAATCTCTGTTGATTTAGTACATAACACCCTAAATGTTCAAGAGCTGGAAGTGCTGACCCAGAGGTATACCAGAATCACCTGGGAATAAAAGTACAATGCCCAGAAAATTACTACATTAACACAAGAAAAAAGCATTTTTTGTTTTCTACTATAAGAGCAGAGATGACCGAAGATCTTCCCATCTTACTTTTGTGTACACTTCTTTCAAATTTCTTATTTGAAGTAACGTAAGCATTGCATATGCCTTGGGAAGTAGCTAACGGATTCTGGAGAAGACCACAGAAACACGGGTGTCACGTGCCACTGACACAGAAATGGCCAGCACCAATGCACGGCGGTCCCTGCTGCATGACGAGCCCTTCACAAATTAAAGCTGAGCTGGGTAAAGCAAAACCTAAGCTCTAGCCATGCTGGCTTCTGCCGGGTAGCTGGCGTTCTTCTTGTCCCTCCCGACCCTCCTAGGCTGGAAGACATCTGACCCTTGCGCCTTGGAAAGGACGCCTGACCTCAAGCAGCCAAGCAACCAACTTGTGCCGCAGAGGCATCAAAGCAGGGGCTCAGAGCAGATCCCCACAAGGTAC